TCTAGTTTTTAAATCATTCAAATATTAGCATAGGAATTGTGTATATTGTGTGTGTGAACTGATATTTTAAAACATTACTTTGTGCCAGTCTACGGTGTACGTATTGCTACATAATTTTAATTGCAGGAAAATGGCTCCATGGAGAATGTGTGCTTGTTTTTGAATTTGGCCAATGATCCCACTATTGAACGAATCATCACTCCTCGTTTGGCCCTGACAGCTGCAGAGTTCTTGGCATACCAGTGTGAGAAACATGTGTTGGTCATTCTCACAGACATGAGCTCCTATGCCGAGGCTTTGCGTGAGGTGGGTTACGTAGTCTTGTACACTTTGTAGTAACAGTAGGTTCAGTGTTAAGTAAGTGTGTGTGTAGTAGAAGGTACCAGAATGTAGCTTAAATAAATGGATTTTGCTGTTGAAAGTTGGAAGATGGTGCTCACAAGATATGATGAAACTAAAATACATGGAAATGCATATTGACGTACTTCTTATCACTTCTGTACCAGCTCTGGAATACTGGGGTTCTTCCCTGGAAATAAGGTGGTGAAGCATTATACTCACCTCCATCTTATTCCGAGGCCTGCATATGTTTAGAGTCTTAAAGTGACTGACATGAACAAGGGCACAAATTGCAGCATTTTTCTTGCTAATAACTCTTTGCACACTTCCAATTTTTATATTGCATGCTCAAGTGGCATATCTTTTAACTTTGGCAACATTGTGGACAGGCATGTTGGCATCTTCTTCACACTTGAAATAACAGAATACTTTATATACCAAACCTTTGGCCTGCCTGTGTAGAACCTGGCATCTACAGTTTTAATACACTAGTTACTTTCTTCTTCTATGGCTCTCTGGTCCGTATTCGGTCCATGGCCTCCTCAATTCTCCTCTTCCATTCGGTCCTCTGTTAGGTCCGTCTGTCTGAGGCTTTGATTGAGGTTTTGAAACACCTTCCACTTTACGGTGCAAGGTTGTTAGCCTTGCGACCAACCCCCAACCTGGAGGACCAGGGTACCTGGTTTTATTTGGTAATGTTCATTTATTCTTTGGTGCTATTGTGCAGCAAGTTTGTATTGGTTTTGTGGTTAGTTTCCGTTATTTGTAGGTACAGACTAAGCTTTGATACACATTTTCACTCGTAATTTTAGAAGTTTTGTTAGTGCGTTTGTTTAAAAGAATTTAAGACTACAGGTGTTCCGTAGGTTTCAGCCGCCAGGGAGGAAGTTCCAGGTCGACGTGGTTTCCCTGGATACATGTACACAGATTTGGCCACCATCTATGAACGTGCTGGACGTGTAGAAGGACGTAATGGATCCATCACACAGATCCCCATTCTTACCATGCCTAATGATGGTAAATACCACTTTGTTGTAACTGACGTGCTGTGTAGGAAGCACAAAACACTGTTCTTTAATGTATGAATTCGCAGTTTTTAATATATAATGAGAGTAACAGGAAGAAGCATAATTTTATGTTCCCTTTTAGAAAAATAGTGTTGGTGGAGACATGTTGGATGTATGCTGTCAGAAGTGTTGTCCATGCTTCTGTATTTGAACTTCCGTGTAGTGGATTTTTGCTCAGTTTAGAACTCGTGTTCCCTCTTGCTTGTGCCAGATTTTTCTTTCTGCTCCCATGCTCATACCAGTCAACCCAACCTCCAGTCTAAGTAAGAGTAAAGTAATGCTGTCCTGCTATACACCATGTAGGTGCTTGGGGGCAGAGGTGGTCTTAACCTCGACACTAGATAGGGGTGAGTGGTCAACATCATGCCCCGGCTGCACTTTACCCCCAGAAAAGGACCCTGGTGCCCATTTGATAGGAGGCTGGGTGGGCCCCAAAGCCAGTCTGGACACAGAGGCTACAGGAAAAATCCTCTGCCCCCGTCGGGGATCGAACCCTAGTCATCCAGCCCGTAGCTAGCCACTATATTAATTCCAGTCTAGTAGGTACCTGGAAATCTTTTCTTGGGTGTAAAGTGATTGGAGCATGAAAGACTGGCCAAGCACCTTCATATGATGCTAAGGTTAAGAATGTATGGTTCTTTGCTTCTACTTCACCGTATGCCTTTGTAGTACATGACTGGCATGCATTATGAGAAATAAAAACATATTTTTATTTGAATGCCTCCACCCAAAGATTCATTTGCTTGTTCTTGTTTTCTTAACCACCCTGTCTGAAATAGGCTGGGGCCAACCCAGGCTCCACAAATTGGTTGTAGCTCTTAGCATATGCGTTCACATTGGATTCTGTCTTTTTAATAGATATTACTCATCCCATCCCTGATCTGACGGGTTACATCACAGAGGGGCAAATCTATGTCGACCGTCAGCTTCACAACAGGCAGATTTACCCACCAGTAAATGTATTGCCTTCTCTCAGTCGTTTGATGAAGTCTGCTATTGGTGAAAACATGACACGTAAAGATCATGCTGATGTGTCTAACCAACTGGTAAGCGTTCATTGTCATTTAAGTTAATAATTGTGGCAAATAGGGTTGTAAGAGGAATTGATTTGCCGTGGCCATTATGAACAAGATTTGCGCTTATGTAAATTGAAATAAAGGAGGTCATAGATGCAATAGACTCAGAGCCCACTGCCATGAAATTTTGTACTGTGGCAAATTTAAAATTGCTAAGGTTATTTTTATAAATTTAAAACGGCAGTGTGGCAGACATCTCGTAAACTCTCCCATGGACCCTAGTAGTTGAACCCCTATTGCAAGGATTGAACTGTTGGCTGGTTGATCATAAAAATTATCTGGGTTAAATGAACTAAATGTTTAATTCAATTGAATGACGATAATGCAGACACATGACTAAAATGTTAATTAACTTTAAAAACACTTCACACAAACTTTACTGTAAGTTCCTTCAAATTACCACTGACATTCAAAGTTCTTTTTGAATGAGAAATAATCTAAATTTATCTTCGTAGCGCCCTGTTGCTGTTCCTAACACATTATCTGTGAGCAGTCTTAATGATCAGCTGCTCTTCTTTCATTTACAAAACAAAGGCAGACGACCTGTGATAACTTCTAGAATATTCTGGGAAATGATTAGATCATAATGTGCATAGGAAGTGTAATGTGACATTCAAGTTTGTGTGGTCTGAATGGGCCGTGGTACTCTTACTGGCCAGAATGCTGTCTAAAACAGAATGTGGGAAGTCTAAAAGAACTATAGATGTAAACAGTAATATGACTTTGTTTGTTGAGTTTTGTGGAATGATATTCTCTGACATTTTTATAAGCATCAGTCCATAACACATCTTGTTGCTCATCACAAGCTCCTTCATTTACAAGTTATTTTATGCATTTGACATGTTCGTCCCGCGCGGTCTGAGGCATCATGCTTCGGACCGGCGATATGGAATGCGCGCTGGTTCGAGTCTCGGGGGAGAAGAAATTTTCTCATGAGCTTTCGACCGGTGCCAACCCAGCATCGTGAGGAAATTGGGGAGCTACAATGGGTAGCGTAATCCGGTCACGGAAACTAGCAATGGCTGGGGGTTCGTCGTGCTGACCACACGTCACCCTATATCTGGTTGGATGATCGTTCACCTCTGCTTAGGCATGTGAATGTGAGGCCAGCAGTCGAGCTAGTCGGCTTTGGCTCATTGGAGCTGTTATGCCACGGATTATTATTATTTGACAAATGTTCTGAATCCAGGAGTGTAGTTAGTGACATATTTTGAACTAGGTTATGTAATGTTTGATGGTAGGGATTATTTTATTGGTGAATTGGAAAGGTAAAGGAAAGTTGCTCTGTTATATTTTAAAGGTACTTCCCCACAATTTGTGTGGAGGAATTGTGGTAACACAAATTTCAGGTAAAGATTACATGTACATGTTTGTCTGCAGATGAAAAGGGTTAAATTGAAATGAGCCATTGTTTGTTTTTATATATAAACGAAGTATAATTGTTGATCTATGTTTTGTATAGTACGCGTGTTATGCTATTGGGAAGGATGTGCAGGCCATGAAGGCCGTAGTAGGAGAAGAAGCCCTCACGCCTGATGACTTGTTGTACCTCGAGTTCCTCGCCAAGTTTGAGAAAAATTTCATTTCTCAAGGTAATCTAATGTTAATTTACATTTCCTTATCATGTCACATTATATGCAATCTTTGTATAAAGTATATAAATCTAGGTTTCTGCTGAACTGTTAAACCCAGAAGTTAAAATCAAGCCGAGGTTTGTTACCCCTATTTCTGTACAACCCATTTTTGAGAAAATATATGGAGTTTGATCCAGATGTCTTGTAAAGTGTGTTTTACACTTAATTATGTGTTTTCAGCAAAAAAATTTACAGTAACATGTTTAATAAAGGGTTTGAGATAATCATGTGTCATTGCAGGTAACTACGAAAATCGCACAGTGTTCGAGTCGTTGGACATTGGTTGGCAGCTGCTTCGAATCTTCCCCAAGGAAATGTTGAAACGAATCCCGGCAGCCACACTGGCAGAATTCTACCCGAGGGACTCCAGACATACTGCCGCAAAGTAGACGTTGTATGGGTATAGTCCATCTCTGTAACTTAGCTACAGACAGCAGCACCTGTCACATCAGGTTCTTAGCTTTGGATCCGTGGTATTCAAAAATTCTATATTATGTTTCTCTTAAATTGGGTACATATTTGATCAGATGTACACAGAGCATAATAACTATGATTTTTATACCCAAGTTTGAATTGGATATACGTTAAAACCATGTGTAAATATTTGATTTAAAAATTGATATTATATAGAATTCAACATTCTTCATGCCGCGATGAATTCTCCGGTGTACGTAACTTCTTGAGTATGATTCTTGCTCCCTTTGTTTATCTTAAGTTGTTTTACAGATTAGGATATATACATAAAAAGACAGAAAGCTTTTCTTAAACTCAAAAATTAATTTGCCAATTAGATTTACAGATTATGACAGAATAGATGGATGCAGTATTATCAGGGAATGCGGATAATACGTACATTAAACTTTTTATTGTCTTATTTAAAAGTGAACGGTGAAAAACGCATGTCCCAACCGGTTGACCAAAGACAATTAATTTTGAGTTATGTTGTCATTGTGACTGGAGAAGTAAACTTTCTGCTTAATTTTGTTTATACCCTTTTATCTGTCACGCTTAACATTAACGATCCGTTGTAGCTGGTAGGAAATGTTTCCTCTGTTTAAATTTGTCTACAGCGTGGTGGTAGGAATAATAATTCTACTTCAGTCAGTACTGTGAACTTTACGTTTAAATACGCTGTTTCCTGTTGTAAATGGGGAATGTAATTCTGCTTTCTTTGAAAGGGTATTAGAGAATTAATTGGTTCTACTTTGTAATTGTGGTAGCGTGGATGAGAATAATCAGTCTGTTCTTTATAAATGAATTTAATATTTGCAGGATTGTGCTCAAGGTGGTGGAACTCGGAGTTAAATTAAATCTGTTTACAATACTCATGTTTAAGTACAGTATTTTGGAGAAAGTATGACAAAAATAACTTTAGCTACTCTTAACATCAATTTCACTTTGTTATGGAGTATAAATTGTACGTTAGTCGTTACGTATCCAGTTTGAGACGACTCGTTTTCAGTTTGGGTGTTCAGATTCATGGCTGTGTGCTGTCTCCTTCAGACAATATCGTGAAGTTCATGTCATCACAAGACGTACAGTAATTAACATTCCACTAATTCATTCATTCAAGTAGAAAGATAAAATTAGTAGAATTTTCCTTCGTGCTGTCTATACTACAAAGATTTGAATTTGTGTACATTTTGTGTGTAAATCATTTTTGAAATGTTATTTTCACATAAGTTTACGTATTAATTGGGGGTTGAAGTACCGTAAAAAGTTCATTTCCATAGGTGGTTTGTACAGTTATTTTATGTGCCTGCAGATGTCAGCGTCTGAGGTCACGTGAGACGTACTGTGGTTTGATCGTACCTAAACAGTATTCTCTTAGTTTCGGTGAGTGGTCGTCTGTAGACGTGGTGTAATTATAGTAGAATAGAAGTTGAACATATAAGAGGATTGTTAGCTGATAAAAATAGAAGTATATATAATGTGTATGATGTTGAAATTGTTTTTGTGGTAAAATACTTGCCACTACCATGTCTCTTGAAAGAGTGGCAATAGCAAAGATAACTGGAATAAAATGTTTTAATGCCTCTTTGCCAACGCATAGACCCCCAAGACATTCTGAGACTTGTTGCTTCCGCCAGTCACTTCCTTGGTGCTTCATTGAGTGAGCTTTTATTTGGGAGCCTCAGGTATTTTGACAGATTTATTATGTGTGCCTGGTCCAATTTCCAACCATCTTTTCCATATCTGTTTACCTTTGACGTGTAGAAAGTACATGTTTTGAGAGTATTATTGTCCATTCAGTTTTTCCCGTCCTTTTCTAGTTTTCCATTTATTGATATTTAGTTTCTTTCACATTTGTCACGTCCGGCACATTCCTTAATGTTACTCAAAAGAAACGTTCTCGTGCTTGAATTTACCAACATTTTTTTGTAGTTAACATAAATGTTACTTCCGTGTGGGAACTGCCGTTGCTTGATAACACTTCGACTTTTGTCTCTTGGTGATTTCATTGTTTTGTTTATTTTCTCATGCATATTCCATGGAATTCATACAGTTATTGTTCAAATATAAGTTCATATTAAATAGTTTAAAGCGTGAAACTTGAATCGTTCCATAACTGTTTTTGAAGTACTTATTTTTTTTAACGGTTCTTAATTCCTTGAAATCAATTATAATTAAATCCGAAGCTGATTATGGTGTAGACGCATCAGTTATGTACCTGGCCCAATTTCTGTTAACGTATGAGAGAAAGGAAATGTAAAAGTTGTTCGGTTACCTGCCAACCCACTACAGCTGTGATAATAAATTTAAGCTACCCTTCACATTAAATTTGACACGCAGAATGGGGAGGCTTAGATTAGTCTGATGAGAGCTTCAGGGATAATACAATGGTGGCATCGTAAAACAGCAAAGTATTCATACAGTGAACCACTCTAGAGGGAGAAAGAGTGGCGAAGGCTACTGAAGAAAATGTGAAAACAATTACAGGGTGTGCAAAGATTCAGAAAGCACTCTATAAAGTGAAAAAGTTTCTTCGCTTCAAAAGGAAAGGTGTGCATAAAGGTAGACAGCTTTGATAAATTAATATATTGGACAGAAAATTTGTAGAGCTCGCTTAGAGCTGAATAATGATACCAGCATCATGGAAGCTTCTTGGCATATTGAGTGAAATTAATTTGAAAGAGAATTTCCACAGAATTGTGAAAGCAGCGTATCCTCATTAAATATGAAGACACCGTTGCACTTCAAGCAGCCTATCAGAACTGTAAGGGGAAAAGACGGCCAAACATAACTGAGTGACCAGACGCCAAAAGCGTGCGGCGCATCACTGACGTTTAAAGAAATTACAAGAAATGCTGTTTCTGACAACACAATCTTTAGGGATTGTGGTTACAGTTATGAAAAAATGTGAAGAACTTGAAATGTAGGCTTTGCAAGCAGTAATGAAGAATCCAAAACAGATGATGGGGTAGGAAGTGTGTTCAGAATTTCACGATTCATGCTTTTCAGGAAAAAGTACCATTGATGATGCTTGTATATGAAGTTTGAATATATTGGGTGCGTATGGTCATGTAAATGCTTTCAAGATTACCGAGATCAGTGACAACATAAGGTTCAATTTCTGTGAATTCTTATCCGTAGAGTTGAGAATCGGAGTCCTCTATAAATCTGCGTACTTTGAACTCGAGTCATTTAAGAACTTTATATCATGATAACCACCATACCTGGTGGTCTGTCTGCATTGTCTCACAATAATGCAATTAGGCGAGGTTTCGCAACTATAATTATCTCTTGTAGCGCAGTATGTAATTGTGGCTTAAAGTCATGTGACACGAAGTCTGGTAGATTTGTACATTTTTTAATTTTCAAGAAAGTGTCATATAATATCTAAGCATATTCATAACCTTCCTCTATAGCAAATTTTATGTGCTTAGACATTCCAATCAAACAAAGATATTCTTATTTTGCATGCTGCAATTTCATTTTACAGCCCAAAAATTGAAGGAAGCTGCAAATTTTAAAATAATATTACCATTACATAATATTTCAGGACAAAAAGTTCACATGGCAGCTACAGTAGTATTATTTAGGGTAATAAACTATAGTAAATTTTACAAGGTGCAGTATATAATTTCAGAAGAACCACATTTAGAGTTTAGCAAATATCGTAATTTTGGGAAAAATCGATCTTAAAGTTTTGATTTGTTTTACTTGGCATGTTCAGTCACGCGTAGTCAATAATGTCGATTAATCAATCAACTATAAGGTTTAGAGGTAGATGCAAAACATTTCTTTGTTTAATTAATGTCATTCTCGCCTTCATTTAGTGCAAACGTTTTCATAAACGATTACTTGGAGAATGAGTTATGACGCTGTGGAGGAAATGTTGCTACCAAAGTGTAGGTGCAGTTAGTTGGTAATTAACATGTTGACAGAAATAAGCATTACAGTCAAGTCATTTATAACTCAACCAGTCATTTATGTGTTGAATTTGTTACGCGGAAGATTATAAATACATCTTCAAGAGTTTTTATTAAATATGACAGCTGTGTATATATTGAAACGTACAAAATGGCGATGACGACAAAGTACCTGGTTGTATATGCTAAATACACTGGAATCTTCTTCTCAGCCAGTCCACTCATATTTGTGAAGGGATAATTCGAAATTGATTTTCAGTTCGAATTAGGCCTATTTCTCATAATCATTAAAATAGCCTATGGCAGTTAGGCTGTTAATTCAACGTTGGGGACAATTTAATATTATTAAACTATTTGTACGTCAGTTGGAAGCGTAGATTGTGGCAATAATGTTGGATGTCATCGCTTGACAATGAAAAACAGCAAACTGTCGTCAGCTGTGACAGTTTACTTGATATCAATAAATCACTTTGAACTATTATAAACTTCCTATCAACATTTGATTGCGAGATACAATAAGCTCTACGCACCCATGTATGAATATTGAGGTTATGTCAGTTGATTTAGTTTCTCTGTGCAGTTCCTTGCATCGGATTACATATTCAGGTATTTATATATGGCAGTATTTCTGTGCGATGTTTAAAATGAATATTACATATGATGTGAGGAATTGGAAGGTATACGTTAATCAGTACTGGAGACTTACGGATGAAGATAGTTGTATTATGGAATGTAGCACCGTGTAGACTAGTGGATATTGCCCAGAGTTTTATTTCGGTTAGTACCAGATTACACGGAGCTACATCCGAAATACAGCCATCTTTGTCATTGGCGAGTCCTGGTCCGGAAGTCAGGTTGTGCGGAAATGTACCACATTGCTAAGGTAAATCAATAATAATATTAATAATTGTAGTTCAATTAATTTATTAAATCGGGCCTGCCTGGTTCTTTAAAGGCTAATGCGCTTGACAAACAGCTGAAAAGCCAATTACAGACAAGCACCAAAATAAATGAAACACAATATTATAAAAACATTATTATTATAATAATAGGCCTAAAATAATATATTACTGCTGTGTTTTGTGGACAAGCTACTCGTTTCCCCTCCAGTTTTAGTGGCCTGGCGGCTCACTACTATCTAGACGGGAATATTTGCTACCGGCATCCATACTCGTCGTCTTGAGAATTTCAAAATCTCAATCAGGCCTATACACGTTTTACAAACGTATGCTTTGTGATTTTGCGTTGGACTGTCTTACTGGCCTTGATGGTTGTGTATTGTAGATACAGGCCCAGTAAACTGCAGAGATTTATTTTTGTTAACAGGCATTACATTTCACGTCTGAAAGATTTATAGGCGAAAGTGTAACTTCTAGAGCTTAATGAGAGACAAATGTTATACGTATCGATTTAAGAAATAATAATCAATATGAAAGACGCCTAACATTTGAATTTCATCGTAATTAATTTAATATGTATACTATAACGATCTCCGAAACGTCGACGGGACACCCATTATACTCGGTACGATTACTCAAAAACATGTTTTTTCATTGAACGCGTAAAGTTTTTATTTAATTTGTGTAACGTCTTGCCGATCGAGAATAACACTGATATAGTCTTTGAATCGATTTATCAGCTACTTTACAGCAAATTGTGTTGTCCGTTAGTAGAATCTGAGCACAGAAGTTTCAAGTTCATTCGACAGAAGTGGATGATCGCGTGTATATTACCGTTAGATAACAGGTTCATGTAGTCTACTTTGCGTATAGTGCTGTGACATTATGAGAATTATAGTGCTGTGACATGAGAATTAAAGGCGACAAACACAGTACATATGAATGAATTATCTAAAAACTCCACTACATGTTTAAACATTTACGGCCATAGTCAGATGGATTTGCCGAAATACAGATAAAAAAAAACACTATTGAATTAGTAATATAGTAATATAGAATGATCGTAACGTCACGCAACCCATATTAAAATATTTATTTATGGTTGCACTTCAGTACAATTGTATTAATAAACACAGTATCGTTGTGAGAAAACAAGAGACCACGCACGTCATGTCATGTTGTAACCTGCTCGCGCCAAGCTTTCTTCAAACAATCTAAGTGCAGATGTATCATTTTCACATGTGCAATTAGCATTTGTTGACAAACACTACCTGGCATCTCGTTCTTACGTAACTTGCCATAATGAGTTCAGCGATATATTTTTCGATTCTCATGTGCCAAACAAATCGACAATATGTCGACTGATGATCGATGATATCATTTTTGACTTTTCTAAAATCTCTTTCTGGTCTCACGGAATAATCATGCCAAGTTTGGTGCAAATCGGTCAACTCTGAATACGGTGGATATTTTCAACACTTCAGATAACATTGTTTTTTTGTTTTGTTTTGTGATTTGAATGTAATCTATTTTTTGAAAAATGGAACATGGCTCAAAAATGAGTTGCGTACTTTCCAATAATTCTGTATTACTAGCAGCGTGCTTGCAGTGTTACTGCAGAAAATTCCACAAATGGTTACATTTCCTTCCAATCTTTATTGCCTAAAAGTTTAACATAGACATGATCATTCGATAGGTGTTTGAATATTATAGAAAAATTATTATCATCATCATCATCATTACCCGCAAAACTAACGTCTTCACCGATATTCTAGTCCAGGACAGTTCTAAGGTCGTGACCTTAATTCCTGTAATCTCCTACCCGAAATAAATATTCTTGTTTCTTTGCGCCGTTTTTATGTCATTCTTAGTTCCTGGCCTACAGAAACCATCTTTATCGGCACTCGAACCCAGGACAAGTTTTCGGAGTTGTGGCGTCTTTTCTGTAATCTCCTCGCAGAAACAAACAATTTCATTCTTGTATGAGTTCAGCGATATATTTTTCGATTCTCATGTGCCAAACAAATCGACAATATGTCGACTGATGATCGATGATATCATTTTTGACTTTTCTAAAATCTCTTTCTGGTCTCACGGAATAATCATGCCAAGTTTGGTGCAAATCGGTTTATACGTTCTCGAGCTATAAGCCAACATACATACAGGTACACAATTTTAATAATACATAGGAGTTTATGTATAATATAATTACTAAATGTGTATGTATGTAAACACACGGAGTCCTTCAATATCGTAGATAAAATTGAAAATACTAAAATGTTGAGGTGTTGAAACAAGGATCGAGGTTTAATTAACTATAATCAGTAGTTAGACCTTTTATTTTATCTACAATATTAACAGTCCTTATATATTTATATATCTGTCATTGTAATGTACCGGACATCTATTTACTATTGGTAATGAACCTCAACATTTTAATATTTTCCGTTTTATCTGCGATATTAACGGACTCCATGTATTTTTGTACACGTTTATAGCTATGTAGCAATCTGTCCATCTAACTATATAAAGGCTACAAAGATCGAAACGTAAAGCGGAGTTTTTAGATAATACATTCGTATGTTTTATGACAGTTACATTATCCAAGATGGAAGACACTGATTAGTTCAGCTAAATGAATGATTGGCTGTTCATGGGGCATAATGATTGACACTCCTGCATCATATTCGGTAGGAAACTAATTGACAAATTAATCAGGTAGCTAAAAAAATGGTAATTGAATCCGTTAATATTAAAGTCTGCCAATGGACACGATTCTGAGCCAAATACATCCACCTCTCATCCTTATAACCTATATGTTTTAAAGATCCATGTTAATGTTATCCTCCCAATGAAATTATGTGCCTGATGTTTGTTCCATCCAAGCCACATAATCAGCCCATGGAAGCGTCCTTGATTTTTTCATCCTGTCAGTAATTGGTGACCTGTATACGCCACTGTTCAGTCTATTTGTGTAAAACCAGTATTCTACATTGTTCAGAACTGCGTCTTCCGTAGGTTCTGATACATTCCTTCGTAAGTTTTTAGAAACACGTCATTGGACAAACGACCCTTGAAGTTCTGTCGTGAGGGACGAATCATCAGGGGTCGAGGAGTTTTGATACAGCGCGGAATGTAAAATTCAATTACGTCTTACGTAATTAATATTAACTCTTATAATAATTAATTAATATATAGTTAATTATTCATACAAATTTTGAAATAAATAAATCATTCAATTCGAAAACCTGGAAGGAAGAGACCTTTTGGAATCCATGAGTATATGGAAGGTTATATTAAAATTAATTTTAAATAAATAGGTTGTGAGGATGTTGAATAAATTCGTCTGCCACAGGAAATGGGTCAATGTTGGGTTCTTGTGAACCTTCAGTTCCCATAAAAGGCAAAAACGCGACTCTTTATCTTCTTATATCATCTTCTCTCTCCATGGAGTTTGTTACTTAAGTTTCTTACATAGAAATTTAAAATAAGAACTTTAGGGCCCTAACAATAACATGCCCTTGTCAAGGACTACCAAAGTAAGCGAAAGGTACTTGGATATTATGTTACCGAGAAACATTATAAATATGCCGTAATTTTCTGCAGGTTTGTTAAACATCGTTATAACTCGATACGAGGACCGCACAACGTAAACAAATGTATCCAGTAACTGGGACGGTGAAGTAACGAATCTCTGCAGGCCACGTAGGCTGTTTGATAAAGTTGCTCTGTTCTTCATTTGTTCTCATCGGCATCCTAATTACAAAAGAATGTCATCTGTGGTACAATGGTCAAATGTTTGTTTTGTGCGCCTTCTGAAGCCGGCGGCAGCTCTAAAGTG